TAAAAATGATTTATTGATATAATGATGAATGAATGGCTTATACACACTGACCTCTATATATACAAGTACGCTGGACTGGCTATACCATAGAAAATGACTGTGCCAATTTGAAGCGCCGCTAAAGGATGTCTTGAAAAATAAAATTGACATAATATGCCAAAGTATGTTGTCTTATTCATATTGTCATATTTAATAAGTCTGTATTTTGAAATTTTAAACTAAAAAACGAAAGTATTTTATGTTGTTTCATTGTGTATAATATTAGTTACATAATAAGAATTATTTTTATTAATAATGAGAAGGTGCGTAATCTGTAAAACCCGTTACCAAAAGGAAAATGATATCAACATTTCACAAGTAAGTGAATTTGCAGTAAATGTTAAACAAATTAAAACTATTTGATAATATAAGTACTTAGAAATTTGTTACTAATCTTAATATCATTTAAACCAACATTTTTGTCTGTATATTACTGAGTTTTAATAAACAATAAAATTCAATAGGATTGTCGAGTTCCTTGTCTATAATACTTATCGATGTTCTTTTCTACCCATATCTGTTAACAAACAAAGTCACCAACAACAGATGATTATCAAATGTTTATTATCGGATTTCCAACTGAACCTAGACTAAAATTATGGCTTAAAATCATAAATCTTGTGAATTGGCGTCTGAAACAAAATGATCCTATTTTTCCAAAAATTTCACAGACGACTATTTTATTAAACACGAGAACTGCACCACTTTGAAAAAGTGCAGCATACCGACAATATTTTCTGGTAGAACCAGTACCAAGCACTACCAACTATAAGTACTAAGTATTAGATTATTGTTTCGAATGTTTTTTTTTATTTCTTCTTTCCTCATTTTCCACCAAATTCAAGGGATATAGCCAAGTGTCGAAAGGTCGCCTGATGATGTCGAGCCACGTTGGATGTGTGTTAGTGGTTTGCGGCTAGAGGAGATTCCTCTCCCTGTACCGCTGTAGTCATGGTGGAGTCGTAAGGGAAGAGGAGTGTCGGTATGGCGATTGGCGATGCGCCACTCTACTGTCTTTCGCGACTTTGGTGACGCTGCACCACTTGATGCTTCCAAGTGCTCGTTTTTCCCTGGTTCCACTCACATATCAGGCTCGGTTATTGATAATTGCAGTTCTTTTTTTTTATTATTGTAATTTTAATTTCGAAAATGACGTTTTAAATAACTGATAACTATGTACTTCAAAGTTTATATTTTTTTATATTATCTTGCTAGCTTGCGCATTGCTGCCGCAGAAGAAGTAATTGTGGAAATATCGTTAAAAATGTGGAACAGTTAAATTGTATAATTAGGAATGGTTTTTAGAACTTTCTATAACTTTCAAATAAATTGTTAGTATAATACTACCCACCTAGTGTCAGTTAATTGTACCATGCGTATAACCTTCGCACAAATGCAACCAATAAGTTGACTAAGTTTTACCGCAATCTGATGAACGGTATGGCATCGTAGAAAGTACGAACAAACATACATTTTTATATAGTAGAAAATATTTTACTGTCTATAGACAGACCTGTGGTTGATTAGAATAGGCGTTATTATAGCAGCTAATTTGTTTTTTATAATATTAAAACTGAATGAACGGTTGACAATAAATTATTCTAGAAATTATGTTTTTATTTTTATTTTGTGTACTTAGTTTAATCCTAATAATTTTTTAGTTGAATGGTTAAGGGCTATGATGGCTATTCGAGTATAGAACCAGAGTACAAAACTAATCCAACTGTAGAGACGTGTAAGACAGGGTGACGTAATATCCCCGAAATACTTTTCATTTCAGATTCAACTTGGCTGGACAGCGTTCGGGAGATTACAACACATGTATAAAGAGGGCTATGCTCAGGGGTTCAAACTTAGAAATGAGGATATCTGCAGCAGAACCAGAGTGACCAACATCGCCCAATGGATTAGTAAGCTGAAGTGGCAATTGACCGGCCATATAGCTCGAAGAGCCGAATACCGATGGGGAAAAAAGGTTCTCGAGTGGCAACTTCGTACTGGCAGGTGAAGTGTAGGACGTTCCCCCCACTATATGGAGTCAAAACCTGGTAAGACATGCAGGAAGTCGATGGATGCAGGTAGCTCAGAACCGTGCTTTGTGGCATTCCTTGGGGGAAGCCTATGTTCAGCGGTGAATTTGTGAAGGGTTTTAATGATGAATGATAATGGCATTATATTAATATGATACATAAATAGAATGGACGGTACGTGTAGAGTCCATATATCCATAGAGTCCATTCTATTTATTTAGGTATAGGTAGGGTATAGAATTTTTATCGATATAATTTGGTACACTGTCTTCTCTCTAGTATTAGTTCCATGGACGTGCACTTCTACTTTCAGCGCCAAAATGGCGGAAATCAAATCGCTTCTTCATGTCACGGTGTATAGCCAGTCCAGCGTACTTGTATATATAGAGGTCAGTGCTTATACAAGATTGTACTGTCACAGAAAGTGAAGATATAGAAAGAAATTAATATAAGAACTTCTGGTTCGGAGATCGAGCTAGACTTTTTCCTAGTCCTTAAGACCGATTTACACTTCGATAAGTAAAGTAGCGAGTTTAGTTACAGGGCAGTTGACAGTAAGCAGTTAAGTGGGCAATAGCGTTCAAACAATGTCTTCGTTGCGAGTTTAGTTAAGGAATTAGTTCATAGAGTTCGTTAGAGTATGACGTTTCAAGACTACAAAATTTTTCTGGTTTTCGTTTAAGATGGTTCTAGGATTACGTCAAGAATTAAATGATCCAGTCAGAGAAGTGTTAATAGTTGTTGTTAAAGAAGTTTTTAAGAATTTAATGAGTGCAGCATCTCGAGTTAATTTTACAATTTGAACTTCTACTATTATTTAAACGTTCCTGTTCTAAATACTCCTGTACAAATTTATACGTGATATCTTACGTCCATTTTATTATTAAAACTCAATATAAAACGTATAAATATTCAATAAACAGTATCGTACAAACTTTGTGGCGAGTTTAACTATAAAAGCACAATTGTATGTTTTGGCGCCCAAACGTCAACTTATGCACTGAACTAAATTCGCTCGTTTACACGAACGGCGAGTTAGTTGCGGGTGGCGGGAGATGCGCGGGAGGGCAGCACTTCGCACTTAACTCGCCGTAAAATAGCTCGGCCGGCTATCCCGTTGAACTTAATCGTTAACTTGTTACTTAACTCGCTTATTGCCGTTCAAACGAGGTTCGAACTTAACTCGCCAGGTTCGCAAGTTAACTCGCTACTGTACTTGTCGAAGTGTAAATCGGTCTTTAGTGAAGAGGAAAAAGAAGAAAGAACGGGGAAATTACGTCAAACTTGCAAAAAAAATTTGTAAGCCTTTATAAGCCTAATTCAAAGCAAATAAATTATTGTTTGTTCAGTGAATCTAAAAAAAAAAAATTTTTAAGCACATAATATGTGCTGTTAATTTTTTTATTATTCTTTTTTTGTTTTATAATTTTTATTTGTTTTTATTTTACTATTCTGTTACTAAAAAAAAGAGTTTAATTAGAAGTAAAATTTTTTTGGCTTTTTGTGTCATTTTGGTGTTACAACTTGACTACTTACCGTGTAGTGGTGGGTAAGCTATATTTTTAACATAACAAATATTGTGTGTAAACATGATTTTTTTGTAGAATAAGGGTAACAAGCGAGCACACAGTCCACCAGATGGTAAGTGAATGCTGTGGCCTATATAGACATGTAGATTTTTCCTCTGTTGGGAATCAAAATGCTGATGCGTTGTCACCCCTGAGGACTAAGATGGAATGCCTCGTTTTCAGTAAAAAAGGTCCAGTTCTCTACATTCACCACACGAAACACGGTAGCATTAAGCTGCCTTTTTACGCTGGTATTCTTTGAGAGTGTGGTCTTACCCCGATTGAGCCTACTACTATCATAATATAGTTGTAGCATGGCTCTACCACGTAAGAGTTTCTATTAAACATTATAAATAAATATTAACTGTACATGTTTTTTTATATAAATATTTTCTTCCAACTTTATCAAAAGCAAAAAAATGGTGTTCGCAAACCACATAAGCTTTAGTAAATAAAACATTATTAAAACGCATCATCATCATCATTACAGGCATTCACAAGTCCACAGCTGGACATAGACATCTCCCAAGGAATGTCAAAAAAAAAATTAAAACGAATGCAAGATATATAACGTAGTAATATCCTTGAATTTAAGCAACCATACATATACACTACAAACTATAGATGCATTGTCACCTCTGGGAACTGAGATGGAATGTCTCATTTCCAGTAAAAAAGGTCTCTGGTTGTAGTGTAAAGACACTCACCATATTATGAAACACAGCAGTATTAACCGGTATTATGTGAGAGTGTCGGGCAGACCCATTTGTGCTACAACCATAATATAGGTATGGCTTTACCACATTCCTAAGTTGGTAGAGTCATAAAGGTAAATGTATTTTAATATTATAAAATACTAAAAAATAATACTGCTGGGTCTCTTGCTGGTTCTTCTCAGAACAGAGGAATGAATTTCAATGAGTATGTACTTTATTATCTAAACTATATTGAATAAAAATGATTTTATTCTAACCTATGTAGTCATTAAGTAGATGATTCTTCTTTGTATATGTAAGTATTAAAGTTTGCTAGTTTATGGTTTTACTTATTAAGTACTAATACTACGGTTATTGTGACATTAATTTCAAGTCAGCAGTTTTTTTTTTTTCAAAACAAAAGCTGGAACTAGCAAATTGTCACCACTTGGGAAGTTCATAGTGTGATTAGACTGAATTGTACCCCATGCTTCTACTGCCACATTTTATTTATAATTAATGCCCCTGAACTTAATGCTAAAGTAGTATTTATAAATGAATATTTATTTGTAAATTCACACACAAAGCTTTATATTTGTAAAAGCAAACATTTTGTAAATACAAATATTCCTCAACTTTAAATATTAAACATTACTAGGAGTACTTACCGCTTGCTGTCTGTGTTTGAGCAGAAGTGGTTGCTTTTTCAGTAAGTACATCAATAAGGTCTCTTTTTATGTTAAACATTAGATCCTTGTGGTTAGGTATTAATTTCTCAATATTTCCACTTGTTGATTTTACAGTTTCTTCAATATTAATTGCTAAGTTGGATACAGCTAAATCTTCTGATTTCTGCATAAATGGAATAAGCTTATACAGCAAAATCACTTGCAGTATCCTATTTAGAAATATATTATATTCTACAGAATGGATTGAGTCAAGTATTGGTAGTAATCTAGTAATGTAGTAAAGCACAGGCTAAATATATGTTAAAAAGAGAAAACATCCTAAAAATACCATTTTAATATTGGCATTTAAATAAAAGAGTTCAGGGTCTTGTCAGTTCTTCTCTGAGAAGGTCTTGTTTTTGCGAACCAGTTTAGATTTGAACATTTACAAGAGCTTTAAACTAACCTAAATTAAATAGAAAAACTTACTTTGACTTTGATGTGCAAAATAGACATGACATATCATGTCATAAAAAACATTAAAATTAGTTAGATTAGCAGTCATATTATCACTTGTTGTTTTTAACAACAATATAATAATAATAATAATTAATGATAGTAAGACTAACACATGTACTAAACTAAAAATATAGTTTCCTTTGATTAAAACTACTTTTACGGATTTTATTGCGTTTAATTTTAATTATTTGTAATTCCCGACGTTTCGGGTGCTTTCCAGCACCCATGGTCACGGGGGACTGAGATCACTGACGTCATTGTTTAACCCGGAGTACCTTCAGCTTTTAGTGCTCGTTCAGCTTATAATGGATACGTCAGATTACAATTTTAAAATACAACAACTTTTGTCAGATTAAACTACATACTGAAAGGTCAAAACAGACCCTACAACTAATCCGCTTAAAACAACTAGCGATCTAATTAAGAAATACTCCGAGAAATTGAATCTAAACGTTAATTTGATAATAACTTCGTGTGCCAAACCACCAAAGTTGTATGGGTTACCAAAAATACACAAACGAAACGCTCCATTACATCCAATAGTGAGGCAGATTGATTCGCCAACTTACAGATTGGATCAACAGTGTTGAGCCAATCTGTGAGTTGGCAAATGTTGAGTCAACACTTAGCTAAAATATTATCACCACTCAGAGGACACACAAGATCACACGCTAAGCATTCATACTATTTTGTCAGTGAGAAAAAAGACCTACGTATTACTAACAATGAAACCATGGTCAGTTTTCATGTTCAGTTTCTATTTACATGCCTAATTGTTGAAGACTGCATTTCAATTATAACTAGGAAACTAGAGGAAAACAACATGCCAGCAGAATATGCAGTACTACTCAGACATTGCCTTACATCTGGCTATCTGTTGTGGAAGGTATCTTCCATTGTCGCCGATATATTCATGGAAGACTTTCTGCACCTGTTACACCAAGGATCTACAAGCGGTATGTAGACAATACTTTTACAATTTTACCATCAGACAAAGTAACTGCATTTTTAGAACATTCTTATTCCATAAACTCTAAAATTCAATTTACTATAGAGTTAGAGGCAAATAATTCCTTACCTTTCCTAGATGTGTTAGTCATCCGAAATCCCAACAACACATTAGGTCACACTGTGTATAGAAAAAGACCCATACAAACCAATATTTAAACGGTGAATCCCACTACCATCCTTCACAGTTAGCTACAATGGGTAAATCTTTGTTACAGATAGCACGAGGGATCTGTGACAGCAAACACCTTGTTGCCGAGCTCCAGCACGTCAAGCAAGTTCCGCATGATGACAAGCCTCGGGTCCTGCTCCTACCTCACAGTGACCGAGTGAAGCCGGTCACAGTCGAGCGTGTGTCTACTGTACTACCACATGTCAGAGGTGTCACAGACAAGATTGGCTACATCTTGAAGTGAGCTTCTATTAAAACATTCTAAAAGCCCCCGAAGAAGATTAATCAGTTCTTACCATCCGTCAAGTGTAATATTCCTCTACAAGATGCAGGAGTGTACAAGTTTGATTGTGAATGCGTTCTCTCTTATATAAGACAAACAAAAAGATTGATTAGAACCTGCGTAAAAGAACATATAGCTCATGTGAAGCATCAACATTCCGGGAAGTTTGCAGTTTGTGATCATATCCTAGACGGCCCCAACCATTACATCAGATTTGATAGACCACAAATCCTCGCGAAAGAACACCGATTCCTACCAAGGATGATAAGGGAGGCTATTGAAATTGAAAAACATCCTAATTTCAATAGAGAAGGAGGCTGGGTACCACCTTCTTGGGACCCTATAATCAATAAAATTAAAACCAAACAAAAGCATACCACTGCAAGACTTCAAGACACAGTCCGCTCATTTTGCATAGATCGGACCATAAACAATAATTAATAAAGCTAAAGGTACTCCAGGTTTAACAATGACATGGACGTCAGTCATCTCAGTTACCTGTGACCATGGGTGCTGGAAAGCACCAGACACATCGGGAATTAAAAATAATTAAAATTAATGCAATAATCCGTAAAAGTAATTTTAATCAATGTGTAGTGTTCGCGCAAATATAAGAAATCATTATATAGTTTCCTTTACATAAACTGATATAAGTAGTGCATATTATAAATAAGGTGACAGTGACAGAGATTTAAATGTCCACTGACATTAAATTCTAACTAAGAGTTGTGGTTATTCAAATCTGCATCCACAAATGCAGAACATCCACATTTAGACTTCTGCTTCCGCATAAATCAATATCAATCTTTGATGCAGATGCAGGTATGGAGCAAGTCACAACACAATCAGAAAATGGGAATGCACTCACTGGTGACAAGTTTCAACAAGATATTTTTGTTTTATTTGATCAAGGTAATTCTGAGCATTTTGTTCACATTTATATCCTGAGTTTGACTGAGCTTATTGTGTCTTCCATAAATATTTTGCCATATAGATATTAAAAAAGTGAATAAAAAAATCTTGCCACCAGTACAAAGCAAAATCTGGACTTTAAATTCCATAAGAAACAATTTCATTCAATTGCTAAGTAATCGAATATTTCCTTATAAACAATAAAATAGACTTACATTTAAAGGAATAACAAGCATGTATGTGTAAGTATAAGAATGTAAAAGAGAGAGGTGTACAAAAATTGTGCCAAATGTAAAGTATATAATAATAATAATAGCCTTTATTTCAGACATTATTTCATTTACAGTATCTATCTGGATTAATCTATATCTAACACTGGATTATATATTATATATATTTACACTCTCAACGCTTAACTATTGTACATCGACAACCCTGTCTGTATGCCACTTATTGGCAAAGGCCTCCTCCAAACTTTCCCATTCTTCTCTATCCTTAGCAGTTCTCGTCCATATGCCTCCTGCTACGGCTTTAATATCATCCTCCCATCATCTACATGGTCTACCTTTTTTTCCTTTTCATATGACCTGTAAACCAATTCATTATTGATTTCGACCATTTCTCTTTTCCTCTAATTATATGGCCTGACCATTTCCATTTTAACTTTTTTATTATTATTGTGACATCTTTTGTTTTCGTGTGTTTCTTTATGGTTTCGATTCTTATTCTATCGGATAGTCTTTTCCCCATCATACTCCTTTCCATGGAGTTTTGGCATGTTTCAACTTTTTAATGTGTGCTTTAGTGAGTGCCCAGGTTTGGCAGCCATAAGTGAGTATAGGTAGTATGCTGGTATCAAAGAGTTTCCGTTTGATGGTTATGTTAGTGTCGTTATTTTTCATTATTTCTTTTAGGCCCCAAAATTGTTTCCAGGCATTTCCAATGTGTCTGTCAATTTCTTTTGAGGTTAGATTTATAGGAGAGATTATCTGGCCTAAATAGATGTATTCATTTACATATTCAATCAGGTTATTATTGATCAGAATAGGTTCTTCCTTGCCATTGGTCATAGCCTTGGTCTTTAATGTGTTCATGACCAATCCCACATTGCCACTTTCTCTGACCAGGTCATTCAACATCGCCTGCAGTCCGTCACTCGATGACGAGAGGATTATCAAATCAGCGACAAATCTCAAGTGTGACAGGTTTTCGCCGTTAATGGACAGTCCACATTTCTCCCAGTCTAATTGACGAAAGACTTCTTCCAAAACGGCTGTGAAGAGTTTCGGCGATAGCGGATCGCCCTGACGTACGCCTCTTCCTATTATAATATCTTTACCTTCCTTCTCTAGTTTTATCTTAGCCTTGCTGTTATCGTAGATATTTTTTAGTATTCTGATGTATTTATTTTCAATACCTTGGTTTTTGAGTGTCTGCCAAATTTTTTCATGCTCTATTGTATCGAAAGCTTTACTGTAATCCACAAAGCAGCAATAAAAGGTTATGTTGTATTCATTGGCTTTCTCGAATAGTTGCTTGATGACATGAATGTGGTCTAAAGTTGAGTACCCGCTCCTGAAACCCGCCTGCTCTCTTGGTTGATTTTCATCCAACGTGCTAGTTGTACGTGTTGTTGTGCAACGTGCTGTAGAGTATAACTTTTGCGAAGATTTTATATATATTCGACAATATACTTATAGGTCTATAATTATTAATGTTATTTTTATCTCCTTTTTTGTGTATAAGTACTATTGTTGACATTGTCCATTGGTAAGGTATTATCTCGCTTTGTAAGACTTCATTGAAGAGATGGTTGAGAATTGGTATCAGGTGGTTTCTATTTAGGATGAGGAACTCGTTACTTATGCCATCCAATCCTGGAGCTTTATCTGTTTTTTGAGTTCTCACAGCTTTTTCTATTTCTTCGTGTATTATATCCGGTACTTCACTTCCTCCTGTTAGGATTGTTGTCTGTGCAGTGTTTTTCCTTGAATACAATTCTTCAAAAAATTGAGTGCCTATTGATATGATTTCAGGGCGTCGCTTCTCGCATTTATGATTTTTGTTTATTAAATTTGGTATCCAATCTCGTTTTTCCAATAGTAGTTTAGCTGTTTTTTTGGTGCCTCCGGTACTTTGTATGCATTCTTCCAGTTGTTCTAATCTATATCTCTGACGGTCTTTTCTCATGTGTGTTTTTATTTTATTACTTAAATTAGCTATGTCTTTTCTTATAGTTTTTGTCTTTTCAGGGTTAGATATAAGGTCTGCTCTACTTCTTATCAGTTCTTTAGTTTTGTTTGTTTTCCATTTTGTCTTGTTGTTTCTACTTTCCATTTTGCATTTTTTATTAGTATAGAGGAGTTCTTCGAATTTATTGTATTTACTCTGTATGTCTAAGTTCTTTGTTTTTTCTATGAATTGTTCTATCTTTCCTTTTAGTGAATCGGTACTTTCTAGTGTTAAGCTGTTGGTTTGTTTTACTTTAAAGGGTCTATCTTTATTGAGTATGTTTATTTGTAACTTAGCTCTTAGCATCCTGTGGTTGCTGTTAAATTAATATTGTTTAAAACTCTACAGCCTCGAAAGTCTTTACTTTTGTTTGTTAGTATATGATCTATCTCGCTTTTGTGGTGACCATCTGGAGATATCCATGTCCATCTGTTGTTCTCATGTTTTCTGTATAGAGTGTTTAGTACTTTTAAGTCGTTTTCATATGCCAGTTGGACAAGTTTCTCCCCATTTCTTGTTCTTTTGCCTGAACAATACGGACCCAATATCATTTGTTCTCCGTCTCCTCTTGCCCCTATTCTTGCATTAAAATCTCCCATAACTACTAATTTGTTGTGCGAGTGTTTGATTATTGCGTCCTGTAACATAGAGTAGAATGTGTCGATTTCTGTTCTACTTGATTGTTCAGTTGGAGAGTAGACTTGCACAATCGACCACTTTTCATTTTTCGGAGGTAGTTTTATATTAAGTATAACAATACGCTCTGAGATGCCAATGAACTCGTCAATAAATGGTTTTAATTCATTTTTTATTAAGAATCCTGTTCCATATAAGCCTGGTGTTTCTCCTTTATAATAAAATATAAAATGCCCGTGGTCTTCTATACTCTCCCCTAGTCGTTGTACTTCACTCAAACCCAGTATTGACCACTTTACATTTTCTAGAGCTAGTATTAGTTCCGTTAGACTCTCATTGGTTCTTAAGGACAATGTATTGTATGTCGCAATGTGTATTTTATCTGCCATTTGGCGATGTTTTTTAGGAGGAATGTTTCTTTTTTTTTTATAGGATAGGGTGACAATCGAGCACACAGTCCACCTGATGGTAAGTGGTTGCTGTGGCCCATATACATCTACATCTATCCTCGATTACGAATCAAAATGCAGATGTGTTGTCACCCGTGAGGACTAAGATAGAATGCCTCGTTTCCAGTAAAATGGGTCGCCGGTTCTCTACACTCACCATACGAAATACAGCAGCATTAAGCTACTATTTCACGCTGGTATTCTGTGAGAGCGTGGTCCTTCCCCGGTCGAGCCAACCCATTCGTGCTACAACTATACATCTAATATAACTGCAGCATGGCTCTACCACGTAATGTGTAATTGGAAATTAGTTGGAGGGTAATAGTCTTCTTCCCCCACGGTGACTGGCCGGATTGGGGTGCCTTTAGAAAAAGTTTGTTTTATTGATGTGTTGTCTCGGTTCCGGGTGTCGATGTCATTTATAGGTTTTTTGGTATTTCTGATATCAAAGCTGAACTTCCTCTTTCCACATAACTGAGTATGTTAGGTCTTATAGTGTCTTTTCCTACAGTTTTGGTCACTGAGTTGATTTGTGTCTTGAAAACGGTAGTGGTAGCTTTCTTTTGATTTGAATTGTTTGGGGAACCTGACTCTTCTCTTTTTCTCTTTTCTGGGTAGTTATCTTTGTTTTTCTTTACTACTAATTTATTGTATCTTATGAATGCTACATTTCCTTTTTTCTTTTCTTCTTCAACCTGTAACTGTAGCTGCTTGCGTTTTTCTAGCATTTCTTTAGAATAATCTTCCTTAATGTATATTCCTTGTGGAAGTTTGGACTTGTTTCGCAATATCAGGTGCTTTTTCCATAGCGTAGTAATAGTGACTACGACCGGGCGGTTTTTGTTGTCAACATGTTTCCCAATTCTGTATATTTTACTGATTTCATTACTATCGAAGTGTATTTCCATGTCTATTATGACGTCCTTGATGTAATCCACAAGCTCACATTCGGTTTTTCCTATTTCTTCTATTCCAAAAAATTTCCTTTTCTCATCTTTCATAAACTTTACTTCCATTAGAAAATTCAGATATTTTTATTTTGAGGGTACTATTTTCTTGTAAAGTATATACAATATATAATATTTATGTACTTAGATTTACTTTGTTACTTATGAAATTAACAAAAGTATTGCACAATAAATGAATAACAAATGTAATATTAAATTAAATATCAGGCATATCTAGGGAATGCAATCCCGCAAATGCGGGATCCGCAAGACTTGCAAGATTTTATTTTGCCTAAATTCGCATAACATCATGTACGACACGAATGAATGACAATAGTTGGATCCCCAAATTGAAGTACGTATGTGAGTCGAGTGACAACTGAATGGGAATTTCTTTCCTTAAGGGGATTCCCCAAAATATCTGTCAATACTCTACTAATGCTTGCACTATTTCAGTTTTGACTTGTGAGTTCGTGACATACTGTGCGTACTAGTGCGTACTTTGTGACATGCGATTTAAATTGAAATAAATTTAAATAGTTTATTTTATATTTGAACAGCAACAGTCTATCTAAATAAAATTAATTAATTAATAATTGGCCATAAGTAAAGTTGGAATTGAGAATTTAAAAATGAATGCTAAAGTAAATGAATGTAAAAGTAAAAAGTGTAAACATTGTCCTTCTATCATCAAAATAAGCGCTCGATCCACTAAGGGCTTGCAAGTACACTTGCGTACGAAGTATAAGATAACAGAGGAAGCTGTATGTAGCGTTGATGATACTGAAACCGCCAGTACAAGCTGTTCTCATCAGCAGTCACAACAAAATACTTTAACGCCGGCTAAAAAGGTAAAAGTCAGGTCAAAGGTAAAATCCTGCAAATTTTGCGGATCCGCGGGACTGATGGTCTCAATCTTGTGGATTTGCAAGATTACCTTTTGGGTGTTGAATTGCATTCCCTAGGCATATATTAATATACTGCAAGCAAGAAATCTTCAAAATAATATACTAATATTCATCAAGTTTCCTGCAATTTATACTAAATGCTATTTGTTTCATAACACAAGAGCCATACCAGTAGGTTGATAATTATATTGCCGTCAGTGTTAATTCCATGTAGAATATATAGTTTATCCTCCAAAATGTATCTTAACGTATAGTTGTCTTGATCATTCCAGCCACTTGGTAAGAGTTCACTTTTTTCTTCTTCACCGGTAAGTGTTCGCTAAAAATAAAGCAAGTGGTTACTTATTGAGTAAAATAATTAAATCAAGTAATTAACTCAAGTTCATACTAAACATTATTTACTACATTACCTCATCTCCTATTCCAATACTTCTGAAACCTCTTTTTATCATATTCCAATGGATAAAAGCTATTAACACATCAGATTTGCTGCGCACAACCTTTTCGACTGTCTTAAAAGTTAAATCCCAACCAAATAGTGGATCCGTTGCCATTCTTCTTTTACAAAGGACTGCAAAATAAACGAATTACTTAGTGTTTCCTTTAACTATAAATATTCTTTACCAGAGATAAAACCAACCAAATAGCACCAACTAATCAGACACAAGTTACAAAATACAAACAACAGAAACACAACAGACACAGATTTGGTAAGTTGCTTGTCATTTCAGTTTGACATTTTTATACAATTGACATTAAAGTCATAACGAGTCAATGGGTGCGTTTGGCAGAAAAAAGCGCTAGCAAGCGCTTGTAAGCAAAATGGCGATCGTAAGCGGTAAGCGCTGTTAAATCGTAAGTAGCTATTTTCCTCCAGGACACGATGTTAGTTTTAACCGGGGAACCTAACCTAATTTAAATATATTAAAAAACTTACCAATCATGAATTTTTAATAACATGTACATATATGTTTATTCATGTCATTATATTACTTAAAACTATTATTGCACAAAACAACTTATAAACTCTACTTCAAAACAAACAAATTAAATAAGCAAAATGGCGGATTGTGTCAGCGCTACTGAAGTAGCAATCGTGTCCTGGCCGAAAATTATTTCAGCGCTTATAAGCGCTTGCTAGCGCTTTTTTCGGTGCGTTTGGCAGAAAAAAGCGCTAGCAAGCGCTTGTAAGCAAAATGGCGATCGTAAGCGGTAAGCGCTGTCAAATCGTAAGTAGCTATTTTCCTCCAGGACACGATGTTAGTTTTAACCGGGGAACCTAACCTAATTTAAATATATGTTTGTGAAGTATTCATATTAAAAACTTACCAATCATGAATTTTTAATAACATGTATATGTTTATTCACGTTATTATATTACTTAAAACTAATATTGCACAAAATAACTTAAAAACTCTACTTCAAAACAAACAAATTAAATAAGCAAAATGGCGGATTGTGTCAGCGCTACTGAAGTAGTATCGTGTCCTGGCCGAAAACTATTTCAGCGCTTGTAAGCGCTTGCTAGCGCTTTTTTTTTATTTGCTTATTTAATTTGTTTGTTTTGAAGTAGAGTTTATAAGTTGTTTTGTGCAATATTAGTTTTAAGTAATATATGACATGAATAAACATATACATGCTATTAAAAACTCATGATTTGTAATTTTTTAATATGAATGGGTGCGTTTGGCAGAAAAAAGCGCTAGCAAGCGCTTGTAAGCAAAATGGCGATCGTAAGCGGTAAGTGCTGTCAAATCGTAAGTAGCTATTTTCCTCTAGGACACGATGTTAGTTTTAACCGGGGAACCTAACCTAATTTAAATATATGTTTGTAAAGTGTTCATATTACAAAATTTACCAATCATGAATTTTTAATAACCGTGCGTTTGCACTGACGCGATTTTCACAAAAAAAACATGTTTTAAACACTGTTTTCTGTCAATGTATCAAAAAGCGTTTGCATAGCCAAGGAACATGTTTTAGTGAAATGTGTTTGACAGTTTATTGTACATTACGTATTATAACTATATTATATCTATATATCTGCAGAAACAAAATGTTTGAAAACAAATTTATAGAAATAGTGTTATGTTGAAAGATAAGTTTGACGTTTTGTATTTGTAGACACTTTTTAATCGAGACAGAGAATTTTCAACAATAATGGGTTCAAGTGATGAAGAGGTGAATAATGGATTCAAGTGATGAGTGTACTGTACATTTACAACAAAAAAGAAAGAAATCGAGGTGCTGGACGTGCTTGCAATGTGTTTGACAGTGATTCGCAGTGGAATACGGGATAGAGACTAAAAACTGTGCTGCATGACGAATAAAGAAAATTAAAGAAAGTGATACATGAGAAAATTCTACCAATTGCGTAATCATATTCAAACATTAAAAGCCAAAATTGTATTAAGTGTTTAACTAATGAAAATACAGTAAGAAAATTATCCAAGAAAATAACATCAACATTTGCGCTGTAATTACAAGTTCAATAGGAAATTGAAAGAAAAAGCTACATGACATATGAAAATCAAAGCCATATGGCTTTATAAAAGGTCATCCACCTGTTACAGGCTACTCAGGCTCTATTAAAGGGTTAACTGAGTACTCTTTGCTGTTGGAATCAATCAACCAGTTTTTAAGGCCTGGCAGATTTTTTAAATACTATAAAACCATCAGACAATCAATTTATATTGATATTTGATGAAATGTCTTTAAAAAAAAATATGATGTATAAACCAAAGGAAGATTTGATTGAAGTGTATTAGGATCATAGTACACAAGGAACATCTTCAGTCATAGCATCATATGCATTAGTATTTATGATTGTTAGTACTAGGAAGACTGAAACAGCCCATTGCCCACTATTTCTCCAATGCATTTTTAACTGCAAATCAACTTACTGTACTAATAAAAGAGGTAATTATTAGTACTTTGTATGATGTTTCATTTTATTTCAACAGTTGAAAAAAGTAAAAATGATTATAAAAGCTCAACGGTTGTAAAACATATTTAATTTTTGATTTCAGGTCTTGAATCAGTCATAGCTGGCATAACTTCCAGGCTCTCAGGCTGGGATGAATATATCTGCAACAGTGTGTGACATGGACGGAGTAAATTTACAAGTTCTCTCTATCTTGGGTGCAAATGTGCAACGACTATGTTTTGCATTCCATAACAAAGAGATAGTGACCCTTTGATACGCCATATTTATTACATAAGGGATCTTGCAATGGGGTTAATGCATTTCACATTGAAATAACTTTGTTTTGCAGAAGAGAGCCATGAGAGCACTTTACAACCTAAGTCCAAAGGAGTCTTTTCAAGAAAGTTTTTTAGAAGTAAATATATTAACTATAGCGTTTTAGTAATTTTACGAAAATTTAATGTAATATGTTTTTTATTAATTTTTGTTTTTATTAATTTAATGTACACAAAAACAACAATAGTTTTTATTAAAAATAGTAATGTATATTTCTGTAAATACTAGGAACAAGTACAAGCTAGTTATATCAGTTATTCCACATCAAAGAATAAGTTTTCCTTCGTGGGGCAAAGTATATGCTTTTATAACAAGTCATAAAATATACAGCCTATCAAAAACTGAAAATTTTAACTAAGCAAAGTTGTTCAAAAAAGGTTATTACAATAAAATATACGATTGATAAACCCCTGGGAATGGGGTGATTAATGTTGTTTCTAAATGTTTTAATATTTAATTGTAAAACAATATATTCTAAATAACATTTTGTTTAAATGGCCCGCTTGGTCTGTTTGCTTGTTTTCTACATAGGACAGAGGCTTTTCCCAAACGAGTAAAAGCATTAATTACTTTATGCAAAACTCATAAAGTAATTAATGCTTTAATCAAGTATTCTTTAATAAGTTTTGTAGTTTTGAATAAAATTTTTTCTGTTTACGTCGTGACTGCAAGCATATAATATAGAGACAAAATTTTAAGGTTAATTTTAAATCAGGGAAATAAATAGACAACCAATTATTATTAAAATGAAATTATTATTTGCTGGTTTTACTCTGGTCTTGTGTACATGAGATTATTTATTATTTAACTTGTTTTTGATTCAAATATTGCTATCTTGGATATTGTAGACACGCTAGGGTTTTTAATTGTGCATGTTATTATCAATACATTCATAATTGTAAATCTTCTATATTATTTTATCCTTTTTTTACATAGGTAATTGAAATATTAAATCAGTATTGATTTTTATTTTCCTTTTTTTAACTCATCTAATGAATTAATAGACAGAACTAATTTTGCTAAAGAAATTTTGTCTCCCTTTAGTAGTGTTCTAGTATTATGCAAGTTTGAGAAATGTAATTCTGTACCTTAGAATCACCTGCTATTAGGCGGCCAGTATACATATACTAGTCGCCGCGGCGATGTCGGATGCATGGCTGTCACATTCCGTCTGGACTGTAATACTAAGCCTGCAAGACCCAACATTGTAGGCTTAGTATAACAATCTTTATAACACCCTTTGGGTTCAGACTAATAAAATGATAAATATTGTTGCCATTATATACATATTATATTATATTTTTCATCATCATCATCATCATCATTACAGCCCTTCACAAGTCCACTGCTGAACATAGGCCTCCCCCAAGTAATGCCACAAAGCACGGTCCTGAGCCACCTGCATCCATCGACTTCCTGCATGTCTTACCAGGTCGTCACTCCATCTAGTGGGGGGTCGCCCTACACTACGCCTACCGGTACGAGGCTGCCACTCGAGAACCTTTCTTCCCCATCGGTTATCGGTTCTTCGAGCTATATGGCCGGCCCATTGCCACTTCAGCTTACTAATCCGTTGAGCTATGTCGGTCACTCTGGTTTTACTGCGGATATCCTCATTTCTGAGTCTATCACGCAGAGAAACTCCGAGCATAGCCCTCTCCATAGCTCGCTGAGCGACCTTAAGCGTCCTCATACGGCCAGCAGTGAAGGACCACGTCTCAGATCCGTAAGTCATCACTGGCAACACGCACTGGTTGTACAATCTAGTTTTTAGAGATTGAGGTATACCTGACGAAAAGATATGCCGTAATTTCCCGAACGCTGCCCAGCCGAGTTGAATCCGTCGATTGACCTCTCGGTCGAAGTTGGACTTACCTAGTCGGACTATTTGTCCCAGGTAAACGTATTCGTCAACAACTTCGAGCATAGTGCTCCCAACAACTACCGGCATAGGTGTGACATGGACATTGAACATGATCTTTGTTTTGTCCATGTTCATCTTAAGACCTATCCGTTGGGAGGCACTATTGAGGTCATTGAGCATAGTGCTTAAGTCCTCCAGCGATTCTGCCATAAGGACTATATCGTCGGCAAATCGAAGGTGAGTGATGTACTCGCCATTGATGTCAATACCGTATCCTTTCCAGTCCAGTAGCTTGAAAACGTCTTCCAATGCAGCGGTGAAGAGTTTCGGGGATATAACGTCACCCTGTCTTACACCTCTCTGCAGTTGGATAGGTTTCGAGCTCTGGTTCTGTACTCGGATAGCCATCGTAGCCCTATTGTACAAACACTTCAGCACTTCGATATACCGACAGTCAACTTGGCACCGCTGAAGGGACTGTAGCACCGCCCAAATTTCGACGGAATCAAAGGCTTTCTCATAGTCCA